GACAACTGACAACTGTTTTTGAAAATAAATTATGTGCCGGGTGGTGGTGGTACACACCTTTAGTTCCAGCACTCGGGAGGCAGAGGCAGGTGAATCTCTGTGAGTTCAAGACCAGCCTGGTATGCAAGAGCTAGTTCCAGGACAGCCTCCAAAACCACAGAGAAAAACCCTGTCTCAAAAAACCAAAGGAAAATAAAAAAAGAAAAAAGAAAAGAAATTACAATCAGTTTGTTTAAGACAAATCATTTCAAGGTAAGGAAGTCATTGAAGGAAAACAGAGAAAGTGGTTTTGGCAATACTGAAGTAGAATACTACACATGGAACATAGTACTTCTAGCCAGCAAGGCCCTGACCTACACTTGGCATTTAATGTTCACTTTTGACTGAAATTATCAATGGGAAAGTCTTAATTGAATGTTCCTGTTAAAGATGTAACTTAGGAGTACATTCATATACTTAATATGCCATAAACCCACGGGCAGTTGCCCTTGTGAACCCTCTGATGGGCAGCAGGACACAATCAGCACAAGAGTCTCATTACCTGGAACTACAGTTAACACAACTAACATTGTTTCCATGCTTTAGATTTCCACTCAGACAAGGAGAGGTGGGAATGGAAACCACTCTGGTGAGCCTGAGTTGTTTGTTTGTTTTTGGAGATAGGGTTTCTCTGTATTGTTTTGGAACCTGTCTGGCACTCACTCTGTGGACCAGGCTGGCCTGCCTCTGCCTCCTGAGAGCTGGGATTAAAGGCGTGCGCCACCAACGCCCGGCTAAGCCTGGGTTTTAAATGATGGAAAAACTTAGATGAACAGATAATAATTAGGAGCTTATGTTGATTCACACATCTATCTTCAAAGTCATAAGAGAAGAAATTAAATTCAATCTACATCCCAGTGTTCCCATGACCACAGTAACATGGCATGAAGACACATATCTTTAATAGCTCTTTAACTTATATGGACACCCAATGATATCTGCACATATCTGATTTGAGCTTTTGCAGGTTTAGGAGCTAAACTTGGTGTTGTGATGTAAAATCACATCTCTTTTCCTCTTTCCTAATCTCATTCTTAAACATACCTCATCCCAGACCCAAATAAGCAGGTTACCTCTCTTATTCTCTGTTTAGCCCACTTAGGACTGCTGATTTGTCCCATACTCTCTTTAAGTACTGATTCCACGCAGGTCAGTCAGTCTCCTTACCCTTTGCTATTCTGCTACCAACCAACACCTTCCTTCCTCAAAACAAGTGTGGAAAGAAAAACTTATTAATTCTCTGCCAAGATATTCCTTTTCACTATAATGGCTCTGATGGAAAGAGTGGGAGTCAGGACTATTATATTCAATTAGTAATGTGATCTTGGGCAAGGTAATTCTGCCTCTTAGACCCTCTGTTCCTTCGTTATAAGGAAAGAGAGTTGGATGGTATCAGAGGTCCCCAAGTGATCTCAATCCATGGAGCTTACTTAAGGATTGCCAGAAGAATGGCAGCTGACAAAAGGCTTCAGCACCTCTTTTCCCTCATTGGCCCAGAAGTCTGGTTTTACAAGTGGCTTCTTTCAGATTTACTTTATCACAAGGCTTCTCTTGCTTAAGCTGCTCAGCATGGTGCTAGGGACACAGCAGGCACTCTGAATTTAATGAATGAGTGAATGCCAAAGGGACTAGGGTGATCTCTAAGATTCCTTCCCACTCTCACTTTCTATGGTTATGTGGCTGCTTAGAGCAGTTGGTCAAATGGGGCCCAAATGTCAATTTGCAAAGAACCCAAGACTGTTTCTTGTTCCTCCATTCTGAGAGCGACAAAATGTGCCTCAAGTGGCTCTGGAAAAATTCCTCGTAACCACTGGGTATAGAGTCAAACAGCTGGCAAAGAGTTCTACTCTTTGCTGAATAAGAAGGATGAAGCTTTGCTTGAAGGAAATCCAACGTTGTGTCCTTATAGTTGTGGAGTGCAAATGTTTGAAAAATAGGAATAGGCTAAAAACAGCATCATGTCTCCATCAAAGGAAAATTCAAACCAAATGAAGGGATCAGGGTGCTCAGTGCTGCTCTCAAGTCCCCGAGCATCTGCAGCAGACACCACACCTCTGCACATAATTAACTAAGTAATCAGGACTTACTCTGTGATTTTGGGGTCCAGGTTGCCAATCCATAATCGGTGTCCTTCCTGTAGAGAGCCCTCTGAAAGGATGGATGCGTTCTCCAGGGGAAGAGTTTTGGTTTCTGTTTCCATCAATCTCTAAGGAATACTAAAGGCAGTGTGAGCATTCAGGCAGGGGCGTGGAACAATTGTGTGAACATGAGATTTCACATGCAGTTTATCCAAGGAAGGCATGCTCTCTGGGTAGTCCTTCAGAGGCCTGTTGTTTCCAACCGGGACCTCACACCTGTTTCCTTGAGACAACCCTTCTAGCAGCCAGAACTGCCATTTAGGATAAGAGGTAAGAGTCTTGAGTCTTCCTGAGGCAGGAGGCCAAAGCCACTATCACCACATGATACTCTGGGGTGGGGGGCAAACAGGAAAGCACCGAGAAGACAGTCTTGACAGTGTTGAAGGGAATGGGGAGGGAATAACAGCTTTTTATACTTCTTGGAGCAATTCAGCACAGGAAGGAGGTGGCACAAGAAATGTGAGGACAGATGCCACACTTACAGCTGGATTTGAAAGCAGGTTGTGTGACTTAGTTAATTGTCTGAATTTTAAAGGCCTCAATTTCCTCAAATGTAAAATTAGAGGCAGTAGTTCTTATTTTATAGGGTTGTTGTGAATATTACATATATTTAAAAAACTCACCAGACACTGTATTTAACAACAGTAAGTAGTCAATATACATTGGCTATTGATCATGAAGTTTATTGTTTTGGTAAAAACAAAAGACAGATGTCCTTAGTTATTAACAGTTCACTATCTGCTTTCACAGTGTAACTTTCAGCATGTCACTTAACTACTTTTCACCTTAGTCCCTTGTGAGGACAGTATCTTATAAAGGTCCAGGTTATACTCCTAAGGCTTTTAGAATCACAATTTCTACAAGTATTCAAGACCAATAATTATTACTAGTCTTAATTCTGAAGTACCTCATCTCACAGAGAAGGCAAATGATGGCTGTGGCAGAGGCAGTGGTGGAAAAAGCGGAGAGCCTGGAGCCTGTCTTAAAACTGTTCCATTTCCACTGCAGCTATTTTTCTAGGTGCCTCGGTTTCCTTGTTCTTATTTATTTACTTTATTTTCATGGTGGTGGGGGCTTGTGCATATCATTTAGTACAGATGAGATTAGAAGATAACTTTCAAGAGTTGGTTCTCTCCTTCCACTTTTCCTTGGGTCCTAGGGATTGAACTCAGATTGTCAGGCTTGTATGGGAAGCACATTTACCAGCTAAGCCATCTTGTCAGCCTAGTTTCTTCATGTTTTAATATAAAATTTGAGGGGCTGGAGAAATAGCTCAGCAGTTAAGTGCACATTTTGATCTTGCAGAAGACTGAGGGATTTGGTTCCCAGGACCCACCTGGTGGCTCACAGCCATCTCTAATTTTAGTTCCAGGAGATGAGATGCCCTCTTGTGACTTTTGCAGTGACTGCATACATGTGGTACACATACATAGACGCAGGCAAAAGACTTGTGCAAACAGAATAAATAAATCTAAAAAAATTCATAAAAAGAAACCCTGTTTTGCTTACTAGTTAAGGTTGCTGCGAAGAAATAAGTTGATATTTGAAAAATAAATTTTAATAAATCTATACAATGACAAAGGAAAAATAAAGGGACAGGGAAAGTAGCAGGCCATGCCAGACTTTAGACCTCCCTGCTAGATACACAAAACAAAAAACATGTGTTTCTATATATAGAAGTGCCTCAGAGCTTAGCCCTGTAGGAAATAGTCCCTATCCAAAGAATGCTTATATTTAAAAGGAGAGCAGAACTAAATTTAAAAAAAAGCAAAAGATTCAATTAATTAATGATAGATATTGTAAACAACAATGAGAAAGGTCAAGTGATGGGGTTGCACTACTTTGGACTGAGTGCTAGAACTTCTGATGTTCTCAGGTCTAAAAGCAACAGTAACACTGAAAGATGCCAAAGTAACACTTAAAAAATGCCAAAGATGCCATGTTTCAATTGGAAGAATACAAGACAGGGGACTAGAGATCTGTATTCAAAATTGACTTTTCCAATTATTGTGCCTTTAGTAACAGTATCTCCCTCAAATATCTTTCTCACATTCCCTGTCTCTGCCACTTTTCCCCCTTCCCATATAATGTGAATAATGTATTGTTTACTTTTTGCCTATGTTTCTAAAATAATAAAAGCGCCTACAGCGCAGGGCCTTACCTGCCTTGTCCATAGTTCTACGCCCAGCATGGAGTGCACTGCATGGCTCAGAGTTGGTACTATTTTCTTATAGAATGAATGAAACCAAGTCAATTGTCTTCTTTCCAAAGATGGGGACAATTATTCCTATATCTCGTGGCTATTTTAAATAAGAGTATATATGTGACAGCTCAGCACATGGATTTTTAAAAGTCTATTAAGGTAGTATGCAATTACAAAATCTTTTGCGGTTTGCAATGGAGACAACTCCTTAAGAGTTAAGTTCATAAAATGCCTGTCCAGCTATCCCTCCCAGCTGAGCTGTGTCATCTGTAGAACCCAGGAGGGGGCTGGGGTCGCTTATTCCTAAACGCTACAACAGGGTCAGGCCAGGAACCAGGATTTCCCGATTCCTGGCTGCTAAGGTCACTTATGGAATTGTTATTTCCGGGCCAGGAAAAGGACAATCCGGGGCGGGGCCTAGAAGCCTGCTGGTGAGGGCAGGGTCCGCCAAGGTCCCCACGGCCAGGTTGGCGCTGAGCTTCGGCTACTCACCTGCTAGCCTGGGAGCTGTGCCCTCAGCTCATTCCCGAAAGCAGGTTCCGACGCCGGGGTCCGAGCGAGGGACGTAAGGGTACCTCAGCTGAAACACTTCTCGCCGCCGGGCCGCCCGTGACGCGCTACGTCTGCGCCGCCGCGCCGCGCCATGACGTCATGACGCCCGCACCGCCTTCTCTGCTGTCGCTCGTGTTTCTCTTCAATCCAGGCTATCACTTGTGAGTGACATGGAGGGGGTCTCAAGGCGCGGGTGGGGCCCAGGTGCCAGTGACACTTTTTCAAGGACCTCGGAGGGACTGGTTCAACGGTTCAACCTTAAGTCCACGGTCGGGACTTCTGGTCCCTCTACCGGCTCAAGGGTGGGGGCGGGGCTCGTGTCTTTCCGAGAAACTTGGTAAATAATTCCTGATATTTAGGACGTCACCTGACAGGAATATTGCCTCTTCCGAACAGCCCTACGCGCGGAGGTGATGAAGAAACGAAAACTCAGCGTTATCTTTATTAGGTTTCGCGGCTCCCGAGTGATGGAGTTTAAATGCCACCCAAGCCTGAGTCGAACGCCTGGGCTTTTAAAATCGTCACTCGAGGTCCTGTGGGCAAACAGTTGTCATTTCAATGGTGCTTCAACATTTCCACTACTCTGGCAAATTTTACAAATGAGATTGAGATCACATACTTAGGAAGTCTAGAAGCAGGACTCTTGCCTAAGCCGTCTTTCCCGCGGGGGTTTCCCCCACCCCGTTCCTGTCTTTTTATTAATTCATACACAACTACTTGTCTTCTAGTTGGATGAGGCAGTAGGTCAGAAACTTGACACAGTAATGTTTGTCAAAGTGGGTAGCCATGAAAACCTCAGCACCACGTTCATCAGAAGGACACTCAACAAAGTTGACTAATTTTGCCTTTTTTATACCTTATAAGCACAGTCAGCTTGACTTTCTTTATGCTTATTCTTCCTGGGAGTGGTGTAAAAAGACTTCTTCCATTTCTTAGCCCCACCATGAAAACGTAAGACAAAGAGTGGGCTTTTGAATGTTGTAGTAAGACAAAGTATGTCCGTTTTCCAGCTGTTTACCAGCAAGATCAACCTCTGCTCATCAGGAGGCATTCCTTCCTTATCCTGAATTTTGGCCTTTGTATCTTCTATAGCTTGTGAGGGTTCCCTGTAAGGGAAGGAAATGAATGTTCCATTGCATTTCCCAGAAGTTTGGAGAACTCATAGTTGGAAAGGTTGGAAACCTTATCTGATTCCTTCAGTGAATGGCTGAGGAAAACCAAGCTAGGAGACGATTTGCTACAGTGTCTGTCCTTGGCAGAGCTGTGATACATGCGTTTTGAACATGAGTAGTTGTGAATCCAAAAGATATATGTGATGGGAATTGATGAGGTGGGGATATTGTTAAATTTTTATCATTCCTCTTTGGCTTGTGCCAAGGACATTTGCATGCTGTGTTGGGTTAGATATTACAAATACCTTTCTTTACATGATAATGAATTTGAAAAAGAGCACACCCTGTTCTAAACAAAGAACTGAAAAGTTGGGGCGTAACAGATGCAGTGTTGAGAAGTCAATCCTAGGACCTGCCATTGGAAGTATAGATTTTGGCATTTTGATGTTGGGCAAGGATTTAATCTTTCTGGAATTCTATTAGCGTACTTATGACATTTATATGATCTCTGTGTTCTTGTGTTATACTAAGTTCAGGGTATAGTAGTGAACAAGTAGATTAGTAGATAGATTAGTCTACTAGACTAGTCCATGGAGTGCCAACAGCCATATGGAGATACTTAGACAAGGATCAAATAATTACACAAATATTTACTTTTTTGTTAAAAACTAAGTGCTGTGATGAAGTATTGGATGTGAAAACTGGGTTTCAGGAAATATGGACTAATTGGAAGAGGGGGCCACAGACCCTTTGCTCTGACAGACTGATGGTTAAGATGAAACCAACCAACCAACCAACCAAACAATGATGGTAAAGGGATAAGGGGAGACCATTCCAAGCATATTTATTTAAAAATGTATTATTGAGCATGGTGGGGGTATGGGGGTGGAGGGTGGTAGAGGAATGGTCCACATCTTTAATTCCAGCATTTGGGAAGCAGGGGTGGTGGATTTCTGTGAGTTCAAGGCTAACCTGGTCTACAGAGCAAGTTCCAGGACAGCTAGAGCTGTTACACAAAGAAATCATGTCTTGAACCCCCTGTTACGATAAAGTTTGAGGGGATTCCATGGCAGACAAGAGTGACTGATGTGGGGGATAAACATGCCAGGCAGACAGAGCTTAGTGAGAAGTTTATTAGAAAGGGAAAACGGAGGAAGGAAAGAGAAAAGAGTTACAGAGACAGAGAAGAGGGAGACAGGAAAAGCCCTGTCTGCCCCAGGGCAACAGCAGGAAAGAGATCATAAGTGGGCAGGGTCTTTCTTTTATTTATTTCTTTATTTTGTTTTTTTTCCAGACAGGGTTTCTCTGTATTGCTTTGGAGGTTGTCCTGGAACTTGCTCTGTAGACCAGGTTGGCCTCAAACTCACAGAGATCTGCCTGCCTCTGCCTCTGCCTCCTGAGTACTGGGATTAAAGGCCTGTGCCACCAACATATGGCCCGTCTTTCTTTTAAAGAGGTCCTGTGCACTTGAGTTCAAACTAGTAATCATGGAACCCTGGGCTGACTAGGGTACTGCCTGAGTGTATTCTACCAAGTGACAGGGGCAGGCCAGCAGCATAATGCCTGAATCCTTACACACACACACACCCACACACAAAATATCTTTGGGTGTTTTGCTTGTGTGTGTGTGTGTGTGTGTGTGTGTGCACGCACACGCGCATGCCTGGTGCCTGTGAAGGCCAGAAGAGGGTGTTCCATCCCCTAGGATGGGAGTTATGTAAATGGTTATGAGCCACCATGTGCGTACTGAGTATCAAACCCAGATCCTATGTTAGAACAACCATTGTTTTAACCTCCAAGTCCTCTCTTCAGCCTCCTTAATGGCATATTTGAAAACTTAGGAACAGGAGAATCTCATTACGAAATAAAAGATTAGTTTATTTTGTAAAATGTATATGGTAATTAAATAATGGGAAAATATTTTATATATAAGGTTTTATGTATTCAAACATGTTAGGAATGCATGTTGTATATTAGTACACATCTGGTTAGAAGGGGTTGCTGGGACAGTGGATAAGCCAGGATGTAGGTTCATAAGTGTATAAAACTCTTAAAGAGTAAACAAAAATATTTTTAAAATATTAGTTACTTGGGGGCAAAAGAGATGGCTCAGTGGTTAAGAGCACTGTCTGCTCTTCCAGAAGACCTGGGTTCAATTCCCAGCACCCACGGCAGCTCACAACAGTCTGTAACTCCAGTTCCAGGGCATCTGGAATCCTTAGACATACATACATGCAGGCAAAATATCTGCATGCACATAAAATAAAAATAAAATAATAATTATTTAAAATGTTAGTTATTTAAAGTGAAAAAAGATGTGGAAGTTGTTGCTGAGAAAGACTAACCTACTCAAGGTCACATATGTAGTAAGTGGGGAACAGATTCTTTATGAGTGGGTTAATATTATTAGAACATAATTAAATTCTCATAAGGAGTTTCTTTTTCAGTTTTAGTCTTTCATATACTGATTTGAGTGTTCATATTCTTAAGGTTAGAGACCCAAAGGATTGCTTTATTAAACTTCCACTGTGTCTGGGTGGCGCATACTTTTAATTCTAGCATGCCTTTAATCAGGGAAGCAGAGGCAGGTGGGTCCCTGTGAGTTCAAGGCCAGCATGGTCTACAGGTTGAGTTCCAGGACAGCCAGGGCTCTTTCAAGACAGAAACCTGTCTGGAAAACCAAAAACCAAACCAAACCAAACCCAAAACAAAAAAACAAAACAAAAAAAAAAAAAAAAAAAAAAAAAACCAAAAAACACAACCAAACAAAAAACTTCCACTGTGAAATTTCCTGGCTTCAGTGCAATTGAAATGTATGTCTCAAGCATTCCAGCAATGTGGTTTATTTATAGAATTGTCTTCCGGTTCACATGTATTGGACCTGCTTTTTGGTGCTGAATTGTCTGTCAAAAGTTGTTTATCTCTAACCCATTTTAGTTTCCTGTTGCTTTGTGGATTGGCATTATGACCCAGGACAGGAACTCCAGGAAGTACACACTGCAGCCAGGTTGAGACCCTGTCAATTAAAAAACCCAAACTAGACATTATTATACAGCCATATTTGGATATAAATGTGAGTTGAGCATTGGCTATATTAGGTAGAAACTTAGATTTAGAAATATCACCCAGACCCAAACTTTTGTGAACAGTTTTTAAGTAGTATTAGACTGTTAGTTCCATATCTTGGGCAGTGACTTAATTTCTCTGAGCCACAGTTACAACATCAGCAAAATGGGGGATATAATGCTTTATTTGCAGTGTTATTGACAGGAGTAAATGAGTTAATATGGAAAGGCAAGCAGGCCAGTTCTGTGTTTGTTGTGACTCCACATGCTGATTGCTGATATTCAGCATAACTTGTTAAAAAAAATTCCATCAGGAGAAATTGTTTGCCTTTGCTTCCCTTCCCCTCCCTCCCCTCCCCTCCCCTCCCCTCTCTCTCTCTCTCTCTCTCTCTCTCTCTCTCTCTCTCTCTGTGTGTGTGTGTGTGTGTGTGTGTGTATGTATGTGTTTGTGTGTGTTTAAAGACAGGATCTTATCTAGCTTTAGCTAGCCTCTAGTGTGCTGTGTAACTGAGGATGACCTTGAACTCATACTCCTTTCGTTTACACCTCCTAACTGCTAGGATTGCAGACATGCCTCACCACAAGTGGCATTGTGTGTTGCTCACTTTCTTTTCATTAAAAAGAATTAGTGATGGTAACAACCGTCAGTAATTGGTGTGGGGTACCCTTCTGTATGCTGTGAATTACCATTGGTTAATAAATAAGCAAAACCCAAAAAATGGATTATGGATGTTTGTCTTTGTTTATGGGATTTGGTTACAATTTGTTATTGGTCATAGACTCTTCTAAAGAAGAAAGGGAGTATAATATAGAAGTGATTGGGAGAAGGGATGATGATGATTATGATTATTATTGTTTTGGTTTTTTGAGGCAGATTTTTTTTTTTCTGTGTAGCTTTGGAGCCTATTCCAGAACTTTCTTTATAGACCAGGCTGGCCTTGAACTCACATAGATCCACCTGTCTCTGCCTCCCAAGTACTGAGATTAAAAGTGTGTGTCACCACTGCCTGGCCAGGGTAGATTATTCTGATGGGAAAAAGGGTTGATTATGAAATCTACTTTAACCTCCCCAAAAAAACCTGCTAATTTTACATATTTTACATTGTATTGAATTTAGTTTATAGATACAAATTTAAAGTTAATTTTGTTATACTGTATTCATATTTCTACTCTTGTTTAAGGCATTGTGTTTATACACCTCAATTAAAAATGTAATGTATAATTAGAATACAGGTGAATAGTCATCTAATAGCCAGAATTATAGTCATATAGGTTTTCTAGGTATACAAAAATATATTTCAGATAGGCAATTTTCAAACACTTCAAAGACCTACAGAATATAGCATTTAAATGTTTTAAAAACAGACTTTTCTCAGCAGTCTTTTCTCATGTCTGCTCCTGGCAGACTACTTCAGAGAAGATGATGGGCATTGAAGAAACTCCATATGGAGTTTACTTTCTTTGTGGCAAAAGTGCCTTCACCTCAGCTGCCGACAGTGTATGCTGTCCAAGTGGGACAAGCAGGGCACCAAAGAAAGGACAGCTGAACTTTGCCAAGTCAGCCTTTCAGAGAATCCTTATTCACAGAAAAGTCTGTCAGATGTGTGTAGGCTGAAGATGGTGCCCCAATGTTACAGGGGAACATTGGGAAACTGCCTAGGCAATCTCATGTCCCTGTCATTAGGTAATATTTCACTCTTCTGGGGTCTTTGATATAGTTGAAAGACTAGGGAGTTATAGTTTCCTTTAGTTATGATAAAAGATAAATTAGATATAAAACTTTAGACTTACAAAGATAAGTTAGATGATGGAGTATCTAATTTTGTCAAATACAGATAGACTAAATATCTTAACTATAATTCTTGCTTGATACCTGTCTTGTTATATGTAATTTTACAGTGTTAAAGTTAAAACCTTCCTTTTTAATTAGACAGAAAAGGGGAGATGATATGGGATGCCCTTCTGTAAGATGTTTTGGCCAATGGCCAGGCAAAATAGAGCCAGGCAAGAAATCCAAACAGAGATATGGAGAGAAGAAAGGAGGGGTCGGGGAGATGCCATGTAGCCTCTGTAGAAGTAATATGCCAGAACATTACCGGTAAGCCACAGCTATGTGGTGATAGACAAATTAATAAAAATTAATTAATTTAATTGTGAGAACTAGTCATTAATATGCCTGAGCCATTGGCTGAACAATCTTAGTTAATATTAAGCCTCTGAGTATTTGGGAACTGGAGGCCAGGAGAGAAACCTCCATTTACAAATAAAAATCACAGCTCTTGAACAGTTTATGTGTATCAGGCACCATGCTGGATGTTTTATATATATATTTCATCTTTAAACGAGGCTTATCTTTCTCCTTGATAGGGAAAAGATGGATTACCCCAGGCAAAAATTCGCACCCACATCTGACTCAATCTAGGCCACTTTAAATATCAGTCTTGACTTATGTGCAAGTGTCTTTGTCAGATCTGACCCTAGCATGGAAGTCCTTGAAATGAAACTGATAGCAATCAATAAATATTATTTTTGTGTGTGTGTCCCTGTTATCTGTATAGTAGTCACCACGCCAAGTGTTTTACCTGCTTGATGAAATAAGTACCAGTTCCATTTTACAGAAGAGGATGGAGATACAGCAATTCTTATTTAGTCAGTGGTGGAGCTGGGACTGGATTTTATGCCCTCATGCTGCAGAATGCTTGCTCTTGTTGTTTTTCTGTTATGCTCCATTAACATTTTAGCAGGTTTTTAAAAAATGAGATACGATTTTCAAAGATAGTTTTCCCACACACTTGATACTAATTGTTCTTTATTTTTAGATAATTAAAAACCAATTTCTTGGCAGAAACTCTTAGTGTTATATTTTTTGGCTAGGACTGTGTTCTGTCTCAGAGGAAGCAATAGCATCCGTGTATGGTTGAACATCTCAGAAGTGTGTATAACTTGTGTTAACTCAATGGATGTTGGCATTTACTAGTTCTCGACCGTGGAAGACCTCAAACCTCAATCATGCTTCAGACTCAAATTAAAGTGCATTCTAATTGGTAATCAGTGCATAAGGAACCAAAGAAAATTTTAATTAAATGCTGCCGTGTACATTTTCTAGTCATTTTATGCCTATTAAAGTGTTTTTCTTATTTAAAGCCCCCTGTAGTACTATGCCCTTCCTCTTTAAACTTTATCAAGATTTTGTGCTTTTTTTTCATATAAGGGCTTAATTAGCACCATCACAGATTTAGACTGCTGCACATTTGCTTAATGGGCATTTAGATGCACTGAAAGAACTCCACAGACTGGGTGTTCCTTAAGTCTCTGAGCCTCAGTTTCTTTACCCTGTGAAATGAGGATAAAGTTCTTCCTGAGGCTGTTGTGAGGTGGCTTAGAGATAATGTATGTAAAGTGCCAAGTTCATGGCTCAGTTAGAGGAATTGCTTGGTAGTTGGTATGAATTAGTTTTGGAAGTTGCTGTGGTTTTTCTTTTACTGAGATCTTTTGTCTTATTCTTTTTAGTGGCCATTTCTGAGGCTTCTCATACACCATGGCCTTGGGAGTAAGGTGCTTCCGCCTGCTGCACCCCACCTTTTGCAGTTACCTTGCTACTTTGACCAGACCTGTTTCAGAAATTTCCATGAAGCCTGTTCGTAAACGACAACATGACAGGCAATACTTAGCCTACCCAGTTGTGCCAGTTCGCCAGTTTGCAACCAAGAAAGCCAAAGGTAGGTGACCTCCCTCCCCTCTCAGTCCTTTCTTACATTTGCAGATCTCAGAGATGTATGGGATCCTTCCTGACGTCTCAGATATTCACACACCAACTGTGTTGGAATCCAGGGCTTGGTTTTTTTTTTTTTTTTTTTTTTTTTTTTAATCATTATACCTCATTTGTTTTCTTGGTGGCTAAGAAAATGCCTAATTTATTTGATTTATATGCAGAACTAGAGGTAAAAGTATCAAGCCTATTGGAGTACTTGTGGCAGGAATTGTTCTTTAGGAAGATTCAGATTGGGGGTATAATTAAAGCCAGAAGGGTTTTGGGTGACAGGGCATTAAGGCCATAGGCTTAGATGGATGATCTTAATGACTTATGTCATCCAAGAATGAGATTTTGATGTACCGCAGTTCTTAGCTTAAATGCCACTTCCTCTGGGATGCCTTCTTTGGCCTGAGACTAGGTCAGGTTCCCTGTTATATGCACTCATGTACACTCTTATTTTACTTTTGACACATTTAGAACCGCAGTAATTAATTAATCAGTTGAAAATTGATTAGTGTTTGTTAGCTGCCTGCCATATTGGATTTGATGAAGCTCAGTTTCTTTCTTTGTTGTTTAGCACTCTCCAGGGATGTATGTATACTGTGTATTTTCACTGACTTTGTTGGATGAATGGATGACAGAGAGTGATCTGGCAGACCTGCTGTTTGCAGTGGGGCCAGGTGATCTGCTGTCAAGGATTGTGCTAGAATGGATCTTCCTTTTCTGCTTTTTCACAGATCTGCTTTTGTTGAAAGAAGGAATAACATGCTGCTAAAAGAAAATTAATGTTTAGAAGATTTATCTTGTGAAGTTAATGTTTGATTTGTATGATATTTTTAAAATTTCCTAATCTAATTCTCACCATTATCCATTAAAAATAATTATAATTTTCCAGTAAAGAAACACTTGCAATTATCTAATGAATACAGATTTTAACATGTTGTAAATACAGAAGCCAGAGTATATAGTGTAGAAAAAAATTGCCCATGATCTCCTGCAGGTAGAGGAAGAACAGGAAAACTGGGGCCTCTGATGATGTGGTGTCACAGTCTTCTAGATGCTTAGTATGGCCTGTAAGCAGTATCTTCATCTTTTTTGACTGCTCCTCAAAGAGTTGGCTGTTTTCATTCTCTTAGAGTCCTTGGAGTCTTCCTGAAATAGGGATACTATGCTGTATTATTTTGCTATAGAGGGGTTATGTCTTTAAATGTGGTCATTTTCAGTTTTTTTCTTTGTGCTTTGTATCTTTTCTATCCCAAGGTAATTTATTTCTGAATGTTGTGTGAATTAATAATTTTAACTGTGGTACTTGAGAGGCTGAGACAGGAGAATTACTGACAGTTGGAGGTCATCCTGGGCTACATAGTGAATTGCAAGGCACCCTGGTCTGCAAGGTGAGACTTTACCTCAAAAAACAAGCTAAAGCTCAGTTTAGGTTTCTTTTTCATATGGACTGTAAGCTGTGTTGTCATCCAGTTGGTGTTAACCCCTGGGTTGTGTGTCACACCTCCTTATCTAACCGGTGTGTTGTGTGTCACACCTCCTTGTCTAACCTGTGTGTTGTGTGTCACACCTCCTTATCTAACCAGTGTGTTGTGTGTCACACCTCCTTATCTAACTCCTCTGTTGTATGCCACACTTCCTTACATAGTTTTGTGAACTGCTGTGTTTCTGAACTAAGTTGCCCTTGCTTCCAGAATCATAAAGTCTTGTGTTCACTGCCTCAGAATTTTACCTGTCACACATATTTTTTTCTTGCCTTTTCCCTCTTCTATGTGAAATTTATAGTCACAAGCCGACGTTTTCTAGAAAATGATATCAATATTATATATTTTTATGATATATTCATAATTTTTAAAGGTATAATAGATACAGAAAAGTATATACCTACATTGTTAAGTGGTTGGCTCAGTAGAGTTTTAGAAAGTGCACACAACCATGTGTCCATCTCCCAAATTAAGAAATAAGATGTATGGGGCTGGAGAGATGGCTTAGCTGTTAAGAGCACTGGTTGCTTTTCCAGACATCTGGGGTTTGATCCCCAGCAACCACATGGTGACTCACAACTGTCTACAACTACAATTCCAGAGGACTCAAGATCCTTTTCTGGATTCCCCGGGCACTAGGCCCACATGTGGTGCACAGAGATACATGCAGGTAGACATTTATACACATAAAAATAAAATTAAAAGACATAAAATGTAGCATGCCATGGTGTCATTTGGGAGTCAGAGGCAGGAGGTTCACTGCCATGGGCAATGTAACAAATTCTATGACAACCACACTTTACATATTGATACACTGTTTCAAAATAGCAACCACACAATAACAAGCAAATAAAAACAGAAACAAAAGTTATACAAAAAGAAAATTAAAGAAGAAAACATCAAAAAAAATGGAGGAGGAAGAAGAAGAAAATGAAGACCACATGACAACGACAACATCACTTATATTCACGACGATATCACTTATATTCTAGAAGCTTCCCAGGAGATTAGCCTTAACACCATAGATTAGTTTATTCCTTTTTGAACTCTATGTCTGGCTTTGTGGAGTAACAGATTTCCTGTGAGATATTTACAGGTTATACCTGTTTTAGGAATCAGCAGCCTGCTGACCCTGCCCCCAATGATGGGCGGGACGCTCATGGCCATGTCATCACTATGTCAGGCTTTACCTGGCTACCAGAGCCCCCCTTTTTAAAGCAAGTGGGCCAAGCAGAACTCTCTCTTGCTCTTTCTCTCTGCTCTCTCTTTCTTTCTCCCCTGCTTTCTGTTGGCCACCAGCTACCCCCCTTTCTCTCCCTTCCCTCAATAAACTCCACGTGGTTGCTGAGTCTTGTGTTTGTGTTTCATAGGCAATAGTTGTATCAAAAGAACAACACCTACCTGTAACAGTTGCTGTGTGCTTTCATCTTTTAAATAGTCTCCGAAATGTGCTGCTGCAGTGTATGCATCCATCCTATGTAGCATCTGGGTCACTTGCAATTTGGAATTAAACTAACAGTAGCGTTATAATATAAACATTCTTGTACATTTATTTTGGTGTGCATGTGTGCACATATGTTCCCATGCTTCCTTTACTCCCTTCCATGACACTGCCTAGGAACCCTAGTCTAATTTGAGTAAGTCTGCTTGTTGAAAATGAGCACTCCACTTCTTATATACTTTTGTAAAGAATGTTCACTTTTTTTTTTCATAATCTCTTTTAAGTAAATATATCTAATCCTTGAGCTTTTTTTAAAAAGGTACTAACTTCTAATCAAATGATACACTGTGTTTACTTAGGTGATTCTACCTCTTCCCCTTTAATTTTTGCATTTCAGGGGATTGAACTCAGGGCATGGCATGTACTAAGCATGACCCATACTCTATGCCAAATCTTCAGTACTCCCTTGCCTTTAGTCTATTAGAAGAATAATGCAAATCAATAGCTTTTTTGGTGTTAATCAGTTTTGCATTTTTGAAAAGAGCCCTGCCTGTTTTTGTTAATTTATATGTGTCTTGCTTGATATATAATCTGTATATTCATTGCTGGATTTATGAAGCTTGTATATAGGATTAAGTATTAGGCTCTTTAGTCTGTGTTTGTCTGATGGGAGTCAGGGGAGGGAACAGGAAAGGAAACAGTGGTCAGTATGTAAAATAAATGAAAAAGTGTTAATTAAATAAAAAAATGATTAGGCTGAATGTAATTCCACATACTGAAGGGCTTAACTCTTTTGCTGCCCTTATTAGGTCTTGCTGTTGTTTACATAAACCTCATGGTGTGAGATGAGTACATATCTCTTGTAATAGTATGTAATAGTTAAAGGGCTACACAAAACAAAAGATTAAGATTTTTACTGTTTTGATAACTCTTACATGTTCTCTTTTTCTTAGCATCTTTTATATCATCATCATTTTTTGAGAAGCTTATCAGTATTACAAGCTTTAAAAGTTCTTTTTCTTTTTTGTTTGTTTGTTTCTCTGTGTAGCCATGGCTCATGCCGTAGACCAGGCTGAGTTTGAACTCACAGAGATCTGCCTGCCTCTTCCTCCTTAGTGCTGAGATTAAAGGCCTGTGCCATCTTTGCCTGCTAAAAAAAAATCTTTTAGTGTTATGAGTTTCTTATTTTGTTGATAATAATATTTATTGTATTTTCTACTTATTCTTTCTTGAGACAAGGTCTCAACATGTAACTCTGGCTAGCCTGGAACTAACTGTGTAGGTCAAGCTATCCTTGATTCACAGATGTCATAGTTTCCTGAGTGAAGGGATTAAAAGCAGAATATACTTAGGGTCACATTTTCCATTTACTTAACTTTGTATTTGCTTTGCTTATCAGTTACCAAGCAAGATGTGTTAAAAATCTCCTGGTGTGATTGTAGATTGAACAGTTTTCCTTTTTTAGTTTTGAGGTTACCTTATTGTTACGAGTACTTTCCTGCTAGCCTTGTCCCAGGTATTATTTAAGCCCTGAATTGTGTGTGTGTGTGTGTGTGTGTGTGTGTGTGTGTGTGTGTGATTTTTTTTTTTTTTAAATTTAAATTTAAATTTGAAATAAGCTTGTTTTACATGTCAATCCCAGTTCCTGCACCCAAGGCCACAATTGTTATATATTTTCTGATATTATTTTGAAGTAGCCCTGTTTTCTAATAATGCATTGTCTTAAGATGTTTTACTTGCTATTAAAATAACAAAACTGACTTTATTTTCATTAATATTTTTCAGGTTTATAAAATTTTCCCTACCCTGTGGTTTCATATATTTATAAATTTTCTTGTATAATCTATATGGTTAAGTTAAAGTCTTACTGAGAACCTTGAACTTTTAGCTAGTCATTTTGGTTAATTTCTGTTTATCGTATTTGTTGAGTATTTACATTTTAATTTTGTTCTGTACTTTTTTGTGGCTTTTTTGGTTTTTCCTCCTTTCTATTAAGTTAATCAGTTTTCTTTATTCTGTTTGCATCTCTGCTGATTTGCAAGCTATGTGTGTATACCATCTGTCTCTACTTGGATAGTTAGTTACCCTTAACATTTTTTAACATTTCATAGAAATAAACTACAACTTGCTAATTTTTACAAACTGAAATCACCAGTGTAATTAAGACTTCCCTTACCCCTCACTCAAAAACTAGTGTGTATTGGTGGGGGGACATGCCTGTAATCTTAGCCCTGAGGAGACTGAAGCAGACATACATACATAGCTGAGGATTTAGCTCAGTGGTGCAACACTCAGGTCCTGCCTGGGGTTGAATATTCTCAGCACATCAGAAGTCCCTTTTCACCCACATCTAGTGCGTGCCACCCTCTCCCTGTACCCCTGGCAGGTAATTATTATTCAGATGTCTGATGGTATGGATTAGTTTTGTCTATTATACTGTTCTAATATGTGGCTTTTTAAAAACTGTAGTATGCATTTTTGTGTTTTGCCTTTTTGTTCAACAATAATTTTGATACCTTATGAATAAATCTCTCTTTTCTTTCCAGCTTTTAAAATGTTCTGTATGTTTTTGGTTTTCTTTATTTACATTCTGCCCAGACCTGGATTTGCTTCTATTGTCCTGCTTGTATTGAGTTTTTTTCTGAATTGACATCTTTTATCAGTTTGAAAAATTCTGAGCCCTTAGCTTGTTTGCTCAAAAGCAGTGGGGGCTTCAAGCAGGATGGTGACTTGAATAAACCTTTAGGAAAAGTTACTTTGCTTCTTGTTTGTTGGTTACTTTGGGCAAAATATTTAAATGGCCTGTACCTTAAGTTCTTATTTTCCTGCCTCAGAACTATCTTGAATATCAAATGGAACAGCATATTTGAAATTGCATTGCAAATGAGGATGTGAAACCCAGATAGCATAGAGTCAACCTAACTATAGATAAAAATTGCTGAGTGGATTTTAATAATGTTCTGTTAAACGTTTAGTGAATAAGCATCATAGTCTTCATTACTCAAATACTATTTATTTTCATCTTTCTTCTCCTTTCCCACCCCATGTAGAAATACAAGAGTGTTTGTGTCATGAGCACATTTAAGGATGTATGTGAAAAACCCCTGATGGTTTAGATATGAAATCAGTTTCCATCTATCATCCAGCACTGTTGATTTTCTAAAATACAAGCTCTGGTGGATAGAATTTAATATCTCCACAGTTCATTTTGTCTAGGTCAGCCATACAATGCTGAGCATAACCTCCTCTTAGTATGCATTTGAAGCTGAATTAATATATTTCATTTCTCTCCGTTAGATTTGTGGAGATTGTCTTATGGAAAGTTCATGGGCTTAAAATTAGACAGATGTGGGACCAAATCTTGACTTGACCATTTCCTGACCTGTGACATTAGGCAAGTCACTTTACCTTTCTTGTCTTCTATTTTTCTGAAAAATAAGGTATTAATTTACTTCTGAATTCCCTGGTATATGTAGAGTACTGTTTTGGGCATGTAAGTGACTTCATTTGTATTCCTGTAGCAGCCTTATAACACAGATTTTATTAGTCCTCTTTTACAAGTAGAGGACCTAATACTCAAAGATAGAGTAACTTGCCCAAGGTCATAAAGTCAGTGTGCACTACAGCAGGTGTAACCCAGAGTGTCTAGTACAAAGCCTAGGCCTTTTCTAATGGCTAAGGCTTTAGCACAGACCTGGGAGCTAGCTGACACTCAGTAGATGTGAGCACTTGTGGAGGGCATAGATGCTTTTATAAATTTCTAGCACTTAACAGTTTTCCCTGTACACAGTAGGGATTTTTTTTAAAAGCCAATGCTTATTATTTCTGAGTATGCTTCTATTCTTCTGTTTATTGAATGTTCACTTTTTAGCTAAAGGGAAAGGACAGCCCCAGGCCAGAGTGAATATTAACACAGCCTTGGTTAAGGATATAATCAGCTTGGAAGAAGTGGGTGAAGAAATGAGATCTGTGATGGAGGCCCTCAAGGATAATTTCAATAAGACTCTCAACATAAGGACTGCACCAGGTTAGTGGCTAAACCGATGTTTCAGGAAGTGTTACAGTGGGAAAGAACATGGGCCTGTCACCATGTCAGTCCCGGCTTTGGCATAAAACTGGTGTTTATGAGCAGTTACTTTTCTGTAACTGAGGAGTTTCCTTGTCCAATTCCTCCTGTATTGCTAAGGGGCTGTAGAATGTAAATGAGTTAACTGTATAATGGTTCTGGAACAGTGCTGCATGTGTCCATTCCGTAACTGTCTCCTGTGGAGTAGTAGTATGCTAGGCCCACTAGCATAGCAGTGAGCAAGGCCTAGCATGATCAGTGCCTTTGGAATTACTCTCAAAAAGCAGTATTCTTGTGGGTACTATAAACATATGTGGGTATCCGGGCTCATAGTTTTGTGTCCTTAGTCTGCTTTTTCTAGTTTGTCTTATTTGGTAGTTCTTATCCTGCACTGAAGGCCAAATTCTGCAGACTTGCCCACCTGAGGCCTTTCTGTGCCCATGAGCTTGACCAGGAAGATTCTGTTTAGGTTAATAGCTTCCTGAAAGTGACTTTTCTAAGTGGGAAATGTCAGAACTGTCTAGGAGAACTGTTTGCAGATGTGATGGAGAAGTGGTTTGTCGACTAATGGTACAAGTGGACAGGAAAAATACAATTGCTGTTAAATTAGCCTTTTGCAAATTGTCATCTTCCTATAGTTAAGTCTGGGACCCCCTCTGAAGGTATATGCAGGAGCTTCAGCCTCTCCCACTCATGTTTTGATTGGGGAGGTTTGTAAGGAAAATAGAAGATATTTCGTGAAGCTTGTGAAAAGTACTCACTTCATTATAAAAATGATCAGAACCCTTGAGTTCAGAGATGCGATCTGGTGTGAGACTTGAAGGCAGTTCCTGGCATTTGTTAACCTTTGTGCTGGAGTGTTTCTGCCTTTGCTGACAGTAAAGCGTGCCATTCAATCGTTCCCAACTGTTTACTTTAAGCTTGCTTATTATTTTAGGTATGAAACTGATAAAGTGCTCTGTCTCCCCTGTGCTTTCTGCCTGTTAACATTCTGCAGCCGAAACCAGAGAGCAGCTTGAGAAAAGCCCAGGGAGAAATGTGATACTTCATATGAGCCAGCCAGTTCCACTCTTGTTGAACTTAAGAAGACGATGGGCTTGGAAAGAGGGTGGAAGTGTAATTTGTTAACGGTTAACCTCTGAGAAAATGAGGGGCAGGAGTGAGCTTGAGGATATTTCCACTGGGGACAGATTGAGGGGAAGGGTTTGATGCATTATGTTGATAAGGATTGAGGGATAGCAACCACAACTGTGCACTAAGATGCCAGTGTGGGGACTTCTATGGCAAAGCTTCTTCTAGCTAGTCATGGGGGCTGAATTAAGATCCATCTTCAGCAGACATCCCCTTGGAACCTCCTCTTTCCTTCTTTGGGTTAAGTTTGTGTAATGGTCTGTGTAGAATTTGAGGCTGTGAAGGAATTGGGTAAAACAAGCTAAATTAACCCTTGCTGTCTGCTAGACAGGCTCTGCCACATCATCCCTCACTGCTACCTGGTCCAGTAACACAGTCCAGCAACACATTTCCTCTTCTCTTCCTTCGTCCTGTGTCTGTCTCAGAGATAGCTGACTTCTGTCAACACTTGTCTGAGATAAAGGCTTATTCTTTACTTCCTGCTTCCCCTTCGTCCTCCATCCATTCATTTGTTCACCATAGTGGTACTGAGCACATTGTGCCACTTACTTTAATGCATATGGATATGGAGAAGGAAGATCTGGTTCCTAATATCCAGGAACTTAGACCCTTGTAATAAAGGGCAGACAAGTAAACCAATGTGTATAAAACCAGTAACAGCGGAACAGTGAAGACACAACTTTGGAAATGGTCATGCCTGTACTTGGATTTAAGACCTATTATTAAGAGCTGTTATGATGTTAGGCAAATCATTCTGTTTACCTCAGTTTCCTCATCTGTAAAAATGGTAACAGTAGTAATGATCTTATAAGATAACGAAAACAACTAATATTTAAAAGCACTAGTGCTGGAGCTTTTGGACATATTCAGTAACTTAAGGCTGCCATCATTATTGTTGAAACATACTTAGGATGCTTGAGGACTCGTAAGAAGGGTTTGTAATACAGCTGAGAAGTCAGACAAGCTTCCTGACATTAGATGCTACTACATCGAGACTTTAAAGATGGAACAAGAATTATCCCAGTAAAGAAGTATATTCTTATTATTTGGTTTCCTACATAGTGAGATTCAGGCCTGTCAAAGCTACACAGTGAGACTTTTTTTTTTTTTTTTTAATGCATTGAGAAGAAAAAGTTATATACTAGAATTTTATAGCAATTGTCCTACCTCAATACTTGGATTATGAGAGTGAGTCAATAGCCCCAGCTCCAGATATGATTTATTTAAGAAATGATGAGAAATATTATAAATGAATCTAAAACACTATGAATTGACTCAGTGTTATTAAGATATCAGTTCTCTTCAACTTGATCTATTGATATATGAAAATCTAAAACTAAAATTTTAAGTGTTTAGAGTTAATTTTTTGTTGTTGCTATTGTCTGTCTGTTTTTTGTTTTTCAAGACAGGGTTTCTCTGTGTAGCCCACACTGTCCTGGAACTCAGAGATCGCCTTCTTTTGTCTCCCTGAGTGCTGGCATTACACCACTGCCATGTGATTAGGTGATTATAGTTAATTTTAAAAGATGAGAAAACTTTAGAAAATTTATAAAGTGATTCAATCAACTAATTTATGTCAATCAGTGCTGAGTCTGTAGATGACTTGGGTGATGTGGTCATTTAAAAATCATTAGCCCATCAGTGAACATGGTAGATATTTCTAATCTTGTGTGTCTTTCAAGTCCTTTGACCATTGCTCTGTAATTCTTTTCTTTTTCTTTAGTACAGGGCTTCTCCTTGTAGCTCTGACTGTCCTAGAACTTGCGCTGTAGACCAGGCTGGCCTTGAACTCACAGAGATCCACCTGCCTCTGCCTCCCAAATGCTGGATTTAAAGGCGTGCGCCACCACAGCCCCTCTGCTTTCTAATTCTTAAAGAAGACATCTTTACTTTCTTAGTTAAATTTATTCTTGTTTTTAAGCTATGGTGAATTAAATAACTTTTATAATTTAAAAAAGAGAAGTATATTCCTAGTGGGAGGAAATTACATGCAAGGATATTGGTTTGATTAAAATACAAAAATTCTAAAAAGTAATAGCAGCACTACTGGGTTGTGGTTATAACTGTTTTTCAATATACTTTTGAGTCTAATCCTTATGAAAGCCCTTTAAGTACAGTTTTTGTCTTGTTTAAAGGTCAGGAAGTAGAAACCCAGAAGGCACTTAGAATCTGGAAGCATTGAGTTGGTATTTAAATTCAGATATTTCGATTTTAGAATCACGGTGACTTTTTTACTCATTATACTCCTATACTTTTTGTAGGTTAAAGCCAGTAGTGTCAACAGCTGTCTGTCACGATGACACTGAATCTGGTTGAGTACTTCAAATCAGATCTTTGGGCCATAGTGTGGTACTGCATTAATCCTACAGCCAGAATAGCTTCAGTTTATTTGAAAGCTACCTCCACAACCTTATTTCTCTTTGTGTCTCAGAATGAGTCATCTATGAGTGGTTCCTATTGTGAGTGGTAAGGATTTTCTGCTAGTTTTACTTGCATAGGAAATGAGGGACTTTGAAAAATTTCCTATCTAGAGCTGTGGGTTTATTTATCTTCTTTGACTTCTGAAAAAATTGCCTAGGATTTTACAGAATTCAGGTGTGGAAAAAGATCAGATCCAGAATGACAGTGATATTGTAAAACCCGTGGAGGGCGTGGACCCTCACGCCCCGACTCAGGAAAGGCGCCCCCCCCCCCCAAATCACTCACTAGAAGTGGTCTTGATGCAAAAGCATGAGGTCTTTTATATTCCAGTGCACTGGGGTCCACAGCCATACTCCACGTGGGGTAGAGGACTGGGAACCCTGGGTACAGGGTTCAGACAGCTTTTATAGGGTTACAACAAAGCCCGCGCATCACAAACCAATCATCTCATAGCATCCAGTGTGGACCAATCAATTTGAACTATCCAAGCCCGCGCTTAGCCCAGGAAGTCTGCTTTCACTAGGGCTTCTGGGTAGTGTGACAATGCTCATTTCCTGTTCATTCACTCACAGGTGCTGTTGTAAACCGCCCTGTTGTAAACAGTCAAGAATGTGACCTTTTGCCTACTCATTGCTAGGGGGTTAGGGTCTAGGGAGAATTATGCTAAATTTTTCCATTCTTGCAATATATATTAACAGTGTGTGTGCATATGCATGTGTGTGTGTGTGCGCGCGCGTGCGTGTGCGAACATGCTTATTTCTGAAGGGGGTCTCAGGACCAAAGGCAAGGATGACATAAAAAATTGTTCTAAATTGGCTGCATGCTAAAATTGTGTAGTGATTTAGAAACTTTACAACAGACTCAGGATTTCTGGGGGGGGGGGGGTGAAGGAGTACAGGCTTAAGCCCTGATGGTTCTGTGCTCAGATCTGTGTAGAGAAGGGAAGAACTTTGCCTGAAATCAGACTTGAGTTTGACTCTTGGCTCTTGATTGTTTTTCCACTTCCTAACTCTGATCTTGGTCCATTTGTCTTTCTCAAGTCTCCTTTTCTCATCTGTAAAATGATGGTAATAATAGTTACTGGGTGGGATGGTGGTAAGAACTAAGAGGGACCAGAGGAGGTAACTTTCCAATGCTGGTTCTTTGGTATATTATGTTCTTTGGTATGTTCTGTTTCGCTGTAGTTGTCACTGTAATTCTGTAAACAGCTACTTTTTTAAAGCTGAGTTGGAAACCAAGGCACACACAGAGAGGACAAGGGATCTCTATTCTTAGCGGTTTTCTCTCTCGTAAGTGCCAGTCATCGAAAGGAGGAGCAGTACTTTTCAGTGTCAGCTCTGTGTAGATAGTTTATTATGTCAACTTCACACAGTTAGTCAGTTGAGAGGAGGGAGCCTCAATTTAAAAAGTGCCTCTGTAAGATCAGGATGTACATAAGCCTGTGGGCATTTTCTTATTTAGTGATTGATGGGGGAGGACCCAGCTCACTAGGGGCAATCTATTCCTGGGCTGGTAGTTCTGGGTTCTATAAGAAAGCAAGCCAGCCAGGTGGTGGTAGCATACACCTTTATTCCCAGCACTCAGAAGGCAGAGGCAAGTGGATCTTTGTAACAAGGCCAGCCTGGTTTACAAACCTAGTTTCAGGACAGATAGGGGTACATAAAGAAACCCTATCTCAAAAAACAAAACAAAACAAAAAATAAGTAAAGGAAGGAAAGAAAGAAGTCCAGTAAGCAGCAAGAAAGGATGAAAGAGAAAAGGGAGAAAGGAAGGAAGGAAGGAAGGAAGAAAGAAAGAAAGAAAGAAAGAAAGAAAGAAAGAAAAATAAAGAAGTCCAGTGAGCAGCACCCCTCCATGGCCTATGCATCAGCTCTTGCCTCCAGGCTACTGCCCTGCTTGAGTTCTTGTTCTAGCTTCCTTCAATGGTGATCTGTTCTGTGTCACAGGAAAAGTTTTAAGTTCAGGCAAACCATATTGGTTATTTTCCATAGTTCTAGTAAGAAATTCCATCGTGGTTTATTGCATACTCTATCCACTCTGAAATTGCTCCAGTGAACAGCCTTGTCACATTAGTAAGGGACTCCTGTATGTTTGAATCTGAATTAGATAAAGAGATATGGGCTTCTGCGGTCTTTTGGAATTCTAAAACCTTATTGCTTTTTCTTTAGGATCCCTTGATCATATTACTGTGGTAACTGCTGATGGGAAGCTTGCTCTAAATCACATTGGCCAGATCTCCATGAAGTCACCACAGTTGATTTTGGTGAATATGTCCAGTTTCCCAGAGGTAAGGTACCTTATTGAAAAGGTCTGTCTTCAGAATTTCTTTTGGATAATGGAGGTTTGATCAGGTTAGAAGGAAATGTTCCCTTTAGTTTGAGAAGAAATTTATTAAAGAAAATAGGGACAAGAAAAGTCTCTTATCTTTAAATTTTTTCAAATGATTTATTTTTGTTTCATGTACATTGGTGTTTTGCCTGCATGTATGTCTGTATGATGGCATCAAATCTTCTGGAACTAGAGTTACTGACAGTGTGAGCTGCCATGTGAATGCTGGGAATTGAACCCAGGTCCCTTGGAAGAACAGCCAGTGTTCTCAACCACTGAGCCATCTCTCCAGATCCATCTCTTAATTTTTTACCTGTTAAATTCAGCTGTTATAGTGACCAGGTAAGAAATTTAAAAAATGATAATGGAGAGGTAGTGATTGGTTCTTGAGCCGGTATAAGGCTTTGGTAACCTGTTGTCTTAGTTACTTTTCTATTGCTGTGACAAAATACCATTACCAGGGCATTTATAAAAGCAAGCATTAAATTTGAGGCTCACAGATCTGGAGAGTTAGTCTTTGACCATGACGGAGGGGGAACATGGCAGCAGGTAGGCATGGAGGTGGAATAGAGGTCTCCGCTCCCATGTGATGCACCTCCTAATCCTTCCCAAACAGTTCCATCAAATGAAGACCAAGCATTGAAATATGTGAGCCTTAGGGATCATTCTCACTCAAACCACCACACCTGGAAATCATGTGGCCTGTTAGTATTCACAGATGTTCCAGTTTTTATTTTCAAAAGAAACCAGTAACCCCAAATTTTGTACAAAGTAATTTTGTTGTCCAAATGTTTAGAACTAATTCACTTTTCTCTTTTTAGAATGTGGACATTAAGGAGGGCTGTCATGAGTCTGTTACCTCAGGTCTTAGAGGTGGAGGCAGGAGAATCAAGGCTAATTTAGGCTATACAAGACTGCCTCAAAACAAACAAAAATCCTTGAGACAATTAAAACATTTTAATGGGCTAGATATGGCCTGAGGGCCACCATTTTGTGACTTCTATATTATAATTCAGAGAAGACCCTCCAGGAATTCACCTTCAGACTAGATGGAACAATACAAGCAATGCCTGGAAGATGAGTTGCATTTAACCTTGAGGCTGTATAGTTTTTACTGTAATTGAGAAACCTAGAGAACTGAAATCCAGTCCTCTCTCTGCCTCCAACTGGCATTGTCCTTTGGCAAGTTGCTTCCTCTCTGACCTGCATTTCCTCACCTTCCTGTTCTGGTCTCTGTCTCAGTCATTTTGTTAATAACTGACTGTGTGTTTGTTATATTTGACAAACAAGCTTAACAATAGCAGAAGAACTAACCATCTTCAGCCAGAAGACTACCATGGCTGGTATGCCAGGTACACTTCTAGACTTACTGATGTTCAGCTACTTCCCCTCTTCATTCTCCATCCTTTAGCTACAGTGAACTTTAGTGTTTCAAAGTATATATTGAATTGTGTCATTCTCATAAATCATCTTTAATAAGTGAAAGTCCAAAATCTTTACTGTGGACAAGAAGGCTTTGGCTGATCTGGCCTCAGGCTGCTTCTAGTCTCTGCAGTCCAGTGGCACCACCTTTCTGGTACTCTGCTCTATTCAGACTGTTTGTGAAATGTGTCATGACTTTTGCACCCTCTGGGCCTTTGTCCTCCTGTGGCTTGGAACTTTTCTTGGTGGCTATTTGCTACTCCCGTTTTGAATTACAATGTAATGTCACTTTTTCACTAAATTGTAAGCTTGCAATAGAAGAGTCATGTATGACTTATTTATTGTATCCACATCGAACAGTGCTAGGCACATGGAAATTACTCCATACATTGTCCTTAAATTGGTGGATATGTGTTATTAGGTGAATGGAAGAGAAGCACTCATTTATGATGTGAGGAATATAGAAATGATACAAAGGAACTGTCCCCCTTCCGAACCCCTGAGGCCTCTCTGCCCTCTTCATCTAATCCCCCAGGCAATTGAGAGACTGGCCTTCTAACTACACAGACCTCATTAGGCAGACTGCTTTCAGGACCATCCACTTCTGTTAGTGAACAGAATGGCATTCACAGAGGCAGCAACTGATTGGCCAACAGAGCATCTCCTACGAGACAAGAGGACATATCAGTTGCTTAATTTTTTCTTATGAAGTTGGGATATATTTTCATCTTTCAACTAAAATATCTTTGCTGTTTCTCTAATGTGAAGTTCCTTCAGTTTTGGGGAAAGCTTAGCCAGCGACTCAGTAGAGAGGCTCACGCATAGGCACAGTGAGGAAGTGTGAGTTACACTGTCTTTTGAATTTCTTTATCTCATCTGGTGTATGCATTAAACAAACAGCTCTGACTAAACATTTCCTCCCTCCAGCTTTAGAAGCTGCCCATAGAGTACTGAGGTTTGTAGCTTCAAAATGCTGAGCTAATCCTCCTGTGTTTATAGAATTCTTTTCTGTTTCACACGCAGTTGGCTTTCTTTCTAAACCTGAACATTTTTGTGTCATGCTGTTGTGACACAATGCAGATTTACATGTATAGTCTTTCAAGTGCATTGAAGGCAAAAACTGTGTTGCATTTTTTTTTAGCATATATTCTCTTTGATAAATAGTACACATAGTTGCTCTCTTCCATTAACTACATTAAATGATGGGAAAGAAGAGAAGTGAATAAAAACCATAGCATCATTTGAACAAAGCAAGTAACAATGATGACAACAACAACATCACATCAGCAGACTCTGTTATTTGTCTGTAGATGGAAGGGAACTGATGTGTACCAAATCTCTGCTGTGTTGGCAGTCACTCACTGTCTTATAGCTTCTTTCACACCATCAGTAGTATTGCAGCAGTCAAAACCAGTTGGTTAGTATTGAGAGCAAACAACCAGTCTGCTTTGTGATACCAGTGGGTGTCTCCCTCCAGTGATGGAATAAAGCTTAAGGGATGGAAATTGTATATGCATATATGCCTTTTTTGTTTGACCCATGGATAGTTTAAACATACTGTTAGGGAAATGACTATAATTTCCTGAAGTCTGAGTCCTACCATGTCAAACCAAAATATACACACCTAGATAAATTAGAAGACTTACTTTCAATAAGTTTTTTTTTTAATGAGACTCTCAGTTAACAATTTTCCCTGAATATGAAGACATATAAAAACTGAAATATAAAATAAGGTTTTGAAGTAAAGTCAGAAGATTCTAATGGGGTTACTAGTAGTATTCATTCAGCAAGCTTTTGCTGCATTCTTGCCTAGTTCTTCGCTGGTGCTGTACCTTCCACTGCGAAGGTGGAAATAGTGAGACACAGTTCCTGCCTAGCTTGGTGTCTATAGTGAATACTCTAACCCTACAGGGGAAGGTGGCATGGAACTATTCGGGCCAGATGGAAAAGGAACTTGATGGTAGTAGGGTGTGGTGGTTTGAATAGGCATGGCCTCCATAGACTAATGTGTTTGAATGCTTGGTCCATAGAGAGTGGCATTGTTAGGTGTGGCCTTGTTGGAGAAAAAGTGTCACTGTGGAGGTGGGCTTTGAGGTCTAATATGCTCAGGCTAGGCCTAGTGTGACAGTCTCCTGCAGCATGTGGATAAAGATGTAAAACTCTCAGCTCCTTCTCCAGCATCATGTTTGCCTGCACACCACCCTGCTTTTCACCATGATGATAATGGAGTGAACCTCTGAAACTGTAAGCCATCCCCATGTAATTGTTTTCCTTTACAAGAGTTGCTGTGTCGGGCAGCAGAAGCAGGCAGATCTCTGTGATTTCGAGGCCAGGCTGATCTACAGAGCAAGTTCCAGGACAGGCTCCAAAACAATACAGAGAAACCCTGTCTCCAAAAAAAAAAAAAAAAAAAAAAAAAAAAAGAGTTGCTGTGGTCATGGTGTGTCTTCACAGCAAATAAGCACATGAAACCCTAAGACAGCTGGTGTTACAGCAGTTTTTTCTTGGCTATGTGCTGAGAAGCTATAGAAGGTTGGGAGATGGGAGATAAAGCTTCCTCCACTTACTCTTAACTCTATTTACTTTATTTCTTTGCCCACTTCTTTACTTTTGTTTTATGTGTATGATGAGTGTTTTGTCTGCTTCTGTGTGCACCAGCTGTATTCAGTACTCACAGGGGCCAGAAGATGGTGTTGGGTCTCCTGGAATTGGAGTTACAGGTGGTTGTGAGCTGCTGAGAACCAAATGTGGTTGCCCTAAAAGCAGCAAGTGCTCTTAATTGCTGAGCCATATGTCCAGCTCCACTTTTATATGTATTGTTCCTAATCATTTCCTTACGTAATAATTACTGAATACATTGAGCTTGAGGATCTGTAAAAAGAATATAGACAAAGTAACAACATTAAACCAAATGCAGCTAAGCCTCTCCTTATCCCTGAGAGTAACTGAAGTTTGATAGGTTGTCTATTTATTGCATCTTCTTTGGACTGTCAAGGAGTACTGTCTATTCTAAAGGAAGTGAATTTGCCCTGTGGACCCCTTGTTCATAATAAACAGGGGGTGCTTGATTATGTCAGAGATTCCTTCTTAACACTGACAGACTATGATCTGAGGTACCATTTTAAAAATTTACTGTAAATACTTAACAATAATATTCATACACTCAGGTTCTACACATCTGTGTGCAGATGTTCTGGTTTGTCATATGTTTTGACTTCATATAGGTGTAGAATTTAGGTGATTTAAAGATGGAATAGGTAAGTTTTTAGATACCTCTAAAACAGTAGCAGTGAAATGCTTGGGAAAGTAAAGTAGGTGTGTCTTCGTGACTTAAAGCTGGAGGAACTCAAGAACAGTGTTTGGCTTTTGAGTTCAAGTGGCATGGATCAGCCCTGGAACATGTAGGAGCCTTGTACTTTTGACTTCATCATCTTCCACTCACTTCCTGTTGCCTTTAGGATTGATACAAGGTGCAGTCAGTATATTGTCCAGAGTGAGGCTGGACATTAGGAAATCTGTGTACTAGTGAGTAAACCTGCAAGAGAAGTTCCTGAAGGGTGTTAGGGACTTTACACATTTTCAATACATGGATATGATTTGTTCATTCAATAACTGCTTTTGGCTGGATGTTAACTGTGTAGCAGGCACAGAGTTAGGTGCACTGCTTACATTATCTCATTCCTTTAGTGATGTTTAAGTATCCTATCAACTCAGATTATGGATGTTAAATTTATTGCTCAGGGTATGATCCCAAAGCTGAATTTAAACTGAAGTTTTTCTGACTCCAAGACCCATGCTTTTTTCCTACCACCCTGCCTTTCCTGTGGTGCATACCAGTGGAGGTTTACTGCTCATTCCAAAGCATGAGAGAGTTTGCTGTGTGTGTAGATGTGAATGAGTTAAATTTATTTACTCATTCCAAACCGGCACTGGTATATTTTGAGTGTAAAATGTCAACTGGAATTTTTAACGTATGAAATCTTTCATCTGTCTTTACACCAATCTTTGCACAGACCAGCCCTCCTCCCTTGAGGATTTATTGTGGTTTTGATCTGTGTTGCCTCAAACCATTGAAATCTTTTCAAAGAAGCAGAGCTGTTTTCTTTTTCTTTTTTCTTTTCTTTTTTTCCTTCCGCAATACACTGGTACCAGGAGTGGACATGGCTTGCTATTCAGCTTGATCAAAGCACTCTACACCAGTGTAACTTCCTGATCTTACTGGTAACAGAACTAAATGTTTCCATGTTCTGCCAAGATGGGTTGCCAGTTATCGACAGAGGGCTTGCATCTGGTAATAATTATTTACTAATTCTGTTTACCTTTTGATCTGGTTTTCAGTGTACAGCTGCAGCTATCAAGGCTATAAGAGAAAGTGGAATGAATCTGAACCCAGAAGTGGAAGGGACACTAATTCGGGTACCTATTCCTAAGTAAGTCTGGCTGAAGTCCATGTTTTTCAGTGACATGGGGATGGAAACTAGTACCTTTAGACACTCCTGGGCCACTAGTGTGGCTTACTTACCTGCATCTTTCATCCTGGCTATGCTGTGAGATCAGTTTATTGATGCTTATTTGCTTACTGGATGTCTGTGTGTGCTAGAAACTGGTCTATAGCAGTAAGCTTGAAAAACAACTTTTCCTCACACATTCTGGCTGGGAAGTTAGGATAAGTTAGCACACAAAGTCATTACAGATTAAATCAAATAAATTCTAGGAGGAAAGAAAAGCCACCAGCACCAAGAGGGAGTAATTGATGGGTGGTCATTTAAGGAGTTAACATTTCTGCTGAGAGCAGAGATGCAGTGGGTGCAACAGCTTGGAGGGAGCACTCCAAAAAGGGTGAGTAGCAAGCACAAGACCTCATTCAGAAAACAAGGCAATACCCATCAGCTCTCACTGTGCTCCCTGTTGGAATCGATAAATTAAAGGTGGAAATCCAGAGTAGTGGGTTTTTGTTTTGTTTTTACTTTTTAATGGATTTTTAAGTTAACAAGAATAGATCTTTGTTCCTGGATTTAAAAAGAGAAGACAGCTGATGAGATGGCTCAGTGGGTAACATCCTGGCCCTAGATGCCTGACAGGAATTTGATTCTTAAACAGGCAGAGGGAGAGAACTGAATCTACAGAGTTGTCCTCTGGCCTCCACACGTGGGCTGTGGCAACAAATCCCTATAGTAAATAAATTTTTTAAAAAGAAAAGATAATACTTGGGAAGTGGGGTCAGGAGGATCACAAGTTCAGAACTAGCCTGCTCTACACAGCGAAACCCTTCCTCAAAAGAAATAACAGACAAGATGGTGGCATGTTTGAATAAAGGAAAAGCTGGCATGTCTGAAGCTCAAGGAGAGGGTAGTAAGAGCAGGGGCAGGGCTTTACAGGCCGTGGGAAGAACTGGGATTTCTTCTAATGGTAATGAGAAACCATTGGATAGGTTGAAGCAAAGGATTGATCTGACAGGGACTTTGTGAGTGTTTCTCTCATTGCTGATTAACATGGTTTAGGAGACAAAGTGGACATAAAAAGAACAGTAACGTATGGCAATCCAGGTGAGACATGAGCCATGGTTACACAGCAGAAGAATTAAGCCCCTATTCCTAGACAATGCCTCACACTGATCAGTTTGTTTGGCCAGTCGACAAATATTTATTAAATACTAACTGTAGACCAGGTCCTTTCCTAATTATTGGGTTATAGCAGTAAGCAAAACAACAAAAACTCCTTGCTCTTCTGGAGCTCACCTTAGAGTTGAGCAGATACAATAAACTCTCAGTATAATGTCTGGTGGTGGTAAGACCTATGAAGAGTCAGCAGGGCAAAGAGATGGAGGAGGGCTGGTGAGAGGGCTCAGCAGTAAGAGCATTTACTGCTCTTGCAGAGGATCAGGCTTCATTTTCTGGCATCTACATTAGGCAGCTTACAACTGTATCTCCAGTTCCAAGAGATCTGACATGCCCTTTGGCATTGTCTTAGTTACTATTGCTGTGACCATGACCAAGGCACCCTGTACTTGGAAGAGTTTATTTGGGACTGATAGTTCAAGAAAGATAGGAATCTATCATCATTGTAGCAGGGAGCGTTGTGGCAGACAAACAGGCATGATGCTAGAACAGCAGCAACACCTCACAAACAGAAAATAGAGTGTATAATGGGGATGGCAAGAGTGTTTTTGAAACCTCCAAGTTAACTCCACACCTCCTCTAACAAGGCCACACCTCTAAATCCTTCCCAGCCCCACCAACCAGGGACCAAGTACTATGTACTGAATGAGGCTCATTCTCATTCAAACCATTGCAGGCTCTGTGAGCACTTGCATATGTATGATGCATATGAACTCATACAGTCATGCACACACACACATTTTTTTTTAAGTCTTTTAAAAAGGAAATTTGGGGGCTCTGTAGAAGCAAGATTCAGGAAGGAAGGGATATCTAAATGAATGGCACCTTCCAGATAACTAGAAGGGAAACAGAATGACTAGGGTTCCTTCTGTGTTACCTGTCACCCTGTATTTCTTTGTAGAAATTGCTTCATTAGTTACATGATCCTTTTAAAGTAATTTTTCCAATTAGGACAGTTTAGGTTCTAAGTGATAAACTAGTGCTGCCCAGGCTTCCTTAGTTACAAAGTGTTATGATAGCATCAAATTTTTTTTTTTTTTCATGATGAAGTCTTGCTAGGTATTTGAGATCTTCCTGCCTCAGCTTTCAGAGTGCTGTGAGTACAGATTGTATCATCACGCTCAGCTGCGAGAACCAGCCACAGCACTGAGGAAACTAAAAACTTTCTTGACTGAAGTTTTTCCTGTCATATGGCCAGAAAATAACTGTATTCTTGATACTATATAAAACTGAATTAACATGCTGCGCTGAAATCTTGTGAACTGAGAAGTGTAACCTTGTGTTTAACAGCTTATACACACTTGGGTTCAAGTTCAGTATATTTGCTTGGGAAGTGTGTATACAGGCTCTGCTGGTGACACAGAGACCTTCATTTGTTAGGGTCCTTGTTTGTATCACCTCCAGCTTACTTGAAAAAGCTACTGTGACCCACAGTTTATAGACAAAAAGCCATGAAGCTCTGAGAAATAGATTGCCCATGATCACATGACTAGTGTTGGCAGGCAGGGTTTGAGAATCCTGAGTTTTTAATTCTGGAAAGTGCTGAATATCATTATGAATATCAGAAGCAAGATTTGTAAGTGGAGGGGCTAAAAGATGGCTCAGAAGTTAGGAGTGCTTACTGTTCTTCCAGAGGAGCCATGTTCAGTTCCTAGCACCTTTTCAGGCATCTTGCAACTGCCAGATACCCTCTTCTCCCCTCATTTGGCATATGGCCTCAGAGACAGACACACATACATGTAAATAAAAATAAAAGAAACCTTTAAAAATTATTTTTAAATATTACAAGAGGAATAGGTTGTAGGCATCATCTTCATTCTCTGATCCCTACTCAACTGTCTGTAGTCTTTCAGGCCACTTCACTTTTCTGAGCTTGGTATTCCTCATGGACCAGATGGAAGGGCCGTCCTCAGGTCTGCAGGCACCTCCACAGTCCCCAGATTCTGCTTACTTCGAACTTGTGTTGCTGATATATACTGTTGACTTGGGTTCTTTTCAGAGCAGCCCAAATGCTTGTTACATTTTTATTTGAAAGCTCAGATTGACATAACACATATTTCTGCAACCCCTCTGTAGTTAACAGTTGCCCTTGTTGTGTCGAATGTAAGTTTGAAGGATCGGTGTGTTTAATTTATATTTTTAAAGATGTGGGATTCTATCTTGACTAATGGATGTAATCCAAGAGAAAGTTGACAGACCAAAACCCTCTGCTCCTGCAAACCTCATTTTTTATATACTTTCTTTTCCTTGACAAGGTGGTAGGGTCATGAGGCCCCTTACTGAATTATGCGTTTGGTAGTTTTCCAGATAAAAAATGAATGGTCTGTTCTTTATTATGGAAGCTGTGTCGTGTGAGGAGATAAAAGTTATTTTAAAGTAAAAGGCCAAAGTTTTCATTAGGTTTTGGCAGTGACTTCCTATGTAGTTCTAGCAGCTTGCTGTGTTTAAGTTTATTATTTGTAAAGTAGGTGAAGGAGTACACAGTGATAAGCAGAGATTCCTTGAGATTAAGAGAGACAATAAATACTGTGTTCTCTTTAAAGAAACTACATACATTGTTACTTCTGTGAAGAGGGAGGAAGGAGTAACACATTGGGTACCATTCTGCCAGGAGCTTTCAAGTGCCTGATGCACAGGAGAGGCAGAAGAGCACAGCGGTTGGGTTTACACCCCACCACATATGCACTGAACTGGGACGCAGCTCTTGGAAAGTTCATCTGTGAAAATAAGTTCATGGGGATTTTTTATGTGGTTATTGGGAGATAATGTGATAATGTACTTGGAGCCCACTTGATGGTATCAAATGCTGCTGTTTCCATCATTCCCTTTCACAAACAGGTAAGGGCTTAATTCCCCTTTAGGGGTAAGGACACAGATTTAAAGAGCTAGAGCTCTGGCTCTGGGTCTCACAGCTAGTAGTTGGCAAAGCTTGTAAGGACATATACACACATATGTGCACACACACCCCAAGTCAAAGTTGGGAAGTACAAGAGACACTGCCAGGTGGTGGTAGTGCATGCCATTAGTTCCAGCACTCCAGAGGCAGAGGCAGGTAGATCTCTGTGAGTTTGAGGTTAACCTGGTCTACAGAGTGAGTTCCAGAACAGGCTCCAAAGCGATACAGAGAAACCCTGTCTCAAAGAAACTAAAGAAGAGGAGGAAGAGAAATCTCTAATTTCTGTTTATAAAATTTCAAGCTTAGCTCTAGGAATATTTGTCTTTTCTGGCTATTTGTGACTTTTGTGCCTCAGGATCATCTGTAAGTTTGCTTTCTGCCCCATCACTAGTTGCCAAACTGTAATTCTTTCAACTGCTGAGCTTCATCTCACTCTGTCACACTTCTGTGAGTCTTTGTTCTTTGAAAATAAGTTTACTGAGTTCATGGCTCTCTTACCTATGAGGTGTTAGGTGGAAGGTAAGTTAAGTCCCTTGGGTAGGAGGTCAGGCCAGGAAGCAGAGCAATACTTTGCTCTTTCTGTTGCCAATCAGGGATCAATTCTGTCAGTTCTGTGGCCAGGGTTGTTTTGTTTGTTTTGAAACAGGGTCTCAGTGTGTAGTGTTGGCTGGCCTAGAGCTAGCTCCCTATCCTATGTAGACCAGGCTGCCCTTGAACTCAGACATCTGCCTGACTCTGCCTCTTGAGTGCTGGGATTAAAAGCATGTACCACCCCACTTGGTGACTGTGGGAATGTATCATGTTGTTTTTTTCTGGTAAAGTACCCCATCCTGTTCTTCAGGAAATAGCTTTGATACTGTTTCCTATGATAATTCCTTATTCTTTTCAAGACAAGGTCTCATGTTACCTAGGCTAA